CCCCAGGGCTCCGCGCCATCACGTTACAGGGGAGTTCACTGGATGGCTAACCAAGCATAGCTGGCTACTTTCCTGTCGCTAACACCGGACATATCCAAATGGCCCTTAGCAGAAAAAAGGTCCCCTGCCCTGACTGTGTGTGTGGAACAAAACCATCGAAGGACTCCTTTGTGGAATTGCTCCTCCCTTTCCGCTCTCATTCTTCCGGAAGTAGAAGAGTAACCCTGTTGCTGCGATCCCACCCAGCCTCAGGGTGCCCTCCCACCCACCAGGTGTCAGAGCGGACCTGTGCTCCACAGGGTCCTCAAGGACTGAGTCTGTATAAGTAGATAGATCATCAGCTCTTTCTCCTAGTTACCTCGGGGGCGGGGCCCACGCTGCCACCCCTGGGCTGTCACTGAGCAATCAGCGCTCTGCACCGGCCGGGGGCGACCCTGAACGTGGACGAGGGTGTGAGGAAGCAGGTTCTTGCTGCTCCTCCGGGAGACGTGTTTGAAAGGCACGCACACACATCAACCTGCCCTCCGTGTTGCATTTCGGTTGGTCTCTATTGGATGTCATCCCAAACAGGGTGCCGACGGCACATGGGACACACGTGAGTGAGTGAGGAGCCGTCGCTGGGAGGTCCGGGGCCCTGGCGTGGCGCCCTGGGCTGCGCTTGGAGCCGTTACCTGTACATGAGGTCCATGAGCATCTCAGGGTCCTCCTGGAACTCCCGCATCTTCACCGTGTCGTAGAGGATGCTGTTCAGGTTGCACAGGAGCTCCTCCACCTGCGAGGGACAGAGGCGCTGAGGCCCGTCTGGGCTGTGCAGCCGCGGGAGTGAGGGAGAGAGGGACGGCTCTTCCACTCGTCCCTGGTGGTGGTGTGGTCATGAGTTCGAAACCACCAGGGGCACCACTGGAGAATGACAGGGCTCTCTACTCCCGTCGAGAGTTACAGTCTTGGAAGCCCATGGGCCGTTCTACCCTGTCCTAGGAGGTCGCCGTCCGCCTGGTAGGTAGTGAATGGTCCACCCTGTGCGGTGGTGGTTACGAGCTGGGCTGCTAGCTGCAAGGTCAGCAGTTTGAAGCCACCAGAAGCGCTGTGGGGGAAAGCCTGTTGCTGGAGGCCCCTGAAGCCTGGCCACCCCCTCCTCGATACTGCATTAGCTTTCGGACGCACACCGGCCTCTCAGGCTGGAGCAGTCGTGGAGCGGCCGCGTTCTCCGAGTGGACGGTTAGCAGTCTGAGCCTGGGGACAAGGCTGGGGGTCTGGGGGGTCGGGAGCCTTTTGGTGGCTACAGGAGCACTGTCAGCAAGCGGTTTCAAGAATTCTCTCCTTGTGACCCTACAGGACAGGGTAGCACTGCCCCTGTGGGTTTCTGAGACGGCCATTCCTCATGGGAGTAGAAGCCCCGTCTTTCTCCCCAGGAGTGGCGGGTGGTTTTGCAATGCCAACCTTGCAGTTAGCAGCCCAGTGGGCAGTTCACTCCCTCACCAGGGCTTCTCGTGAGCTTGTAGAGGCCCCTCATCTGTGCACTGCTGAGCCCAACCCCCTCCCTCTTGCACCTGCAGTGTCACCAGGTTGAGACGCTGCCCGGTCCTGTATCGCGCACTCTCATAGTGAGAGCTCCCCAGCCATCCACATATGTACACGTATGTATATCTTTGTCGTAAGTTGGAATCCATCCACGGTTTCCATACGCGTGTGAATGCATATATACACACACGCACACACACACAG